GTAGTTGAACTATGCAGCTTAGAGACTGTTATGTATTGTGATGTTATGTGGTCATTCTCGCCACCTAGTGGTGGAGGATGGGTATTACAATGTTATTCTTATTATTCTTAATAAAAAATTGTGTGGGTATTAAAAAATGGCTATGTGCAGATAATTTAAATCCAGAATTGTGAATACTGAGCTCAAGTCTATGACTAATGTGGCACAGACACATGTTTCTTGTTATATGAACCTTTTCAATTGGCAAACAGCTGAACTGTGTAGTATTGTTAATATTTTTGGACACTCCAGTTTACCTCCTTGTTTAAAACAAGGTTGACAAGAATATTTTTAATGCCAACATGAAATAATATCAGGAACTGATTGTACTGATGAAACCTTAATTAGTCAAAGAAATTATGTTATTAAAGCTTAATCAAAAATGTCCATGAGTAAAAACCTTTTTCTTGGCTCCTCAATGAGACAATGTAAACTGACCAAAAAGCATTTTTATTTATTGTTCTTTACACTGACAAACTATTACTTTCATACTTGCCCTAAAACTTTAGTGAAAATGCACTGGGTTGCATAAGATTTAGGGGGTAAGTTCCCTAAAGGCTTTGGATCCGTTTCTTAAATTTGAGTTTTTTTTATTTTTTTATTTGAATCCATCTTATACAAGCTGTCAGTCGAAGATATGAAAATTAGCGAATAAATGTGACGTTGCAAAGACAAATATATCCTAAAAAATTATACTTTTTTTTGTTTGTTTTCTTTGTTTATCCATGCTTATTCAGACCTGGAAAATACCAAAAATCCCATTTCAAATTTTCACGGCTGTATAGGAACTCTGCATTGCCCAAAATGCAACTTTACCGTTTCGAGCCTTTAATAAATTTGAGCTGACAGGATGTTGTGATGTAAAGTACCTTATCACTAAACCAACACAATCAGAAGTAACCCAATATGAGAAACACAGCATATAGGTCCTGCTATGTTACATAACGACAGGTTGATTTAGTTAATTCCTCATTAATTAAACATCCAAATCAGTTGAATAATGCAGGAAGTTCAGAGAAAGCAAGATATTAAACACTGAGACAGTTGTGTCCTTTCAACAAGGTGCAAAATTAAYGTTTTTAGTGAAAAAAATACTTCAGTCTTTTCAAATGACATTATCCACATTTTATAACACAAACCAGTGTTTTTAAAAAGGTTAGCAAGTGGAATAAAAAAAATAAATAAACAGCAGACACCTTTTTTTTTTTTTTTGGACGTGAGCTCAGGCTATTAAACAATGTGTGTGTGACTGCAGGGAGGGGATTGTACCACATTAATGTTTGTGACACAATGAAGGCGTTCACAAAATCAAAGCAAAACACAGGAAAAGTTCTCCTCTGGTGTTTACTTCATGTGACAGACAAAATGTGCTCTGACCAAAAACATCCCTCTACCGTCCAGAGAGGTTCCGCGCTTTCGGTCTCAGTGCATGGAACACAACAAAACTGACAAATAAGGTAAACCAAAGAAACAAACAAAAACAACATGTTCTTTCCAGATATGAAATAAAGTCAGAAACGTACATAAAAAAAAAAAAAAAACTGAGATTCATACCAAGTAAATATATCAGTGGCAGGTCAGATTCTGTGGGAAATAAAAGCTTTTGTTTTGAAATTGTTCACGTAGTTCATTTGTTCAACTACTGAACTCTGAGCCAAACGCTTTACTTCAAAAGCACTGCGACACCCAACTATGCCTCCACCTCTTTCCAAAAATACCAACAATGTCRATTAAAACAACACAAACACATACATTTACACACTCTCACTATCCAAACCAACTTTCTCGCTCAGAAACTGGAGCCAGTTGGTGCCTCAGAGTGAAGTGAAGGAGCTGTGATGTGGAAATCAGTGTCAAGGAAAACAATTTCTAAAGTAAACTGACAGCGTAGGGAGTTTGGGGTGAGGGAGGGGGGGTGCTGATATCATAAAGGAACCATAAATAGGATTGACCACCTATATYGTCCCTGTCCATCAATTTAAAATTATATTACACATCCACCACCGTGCTACTTCTCCACTGCAGTTAATCCACACGCACACACACGCTCCCATCCCTCCCTCTTWTGCTAGTCTCCTTTCTCTTCAACGGCCATCACTGCACCGCCTGCTCATTGGCAGTGCTACCGGAGTCCTGCGGCTTCATTACATCAGGGAGCTCTGGGGGGCTGGAGAAGGCCTCGATGTGCAGCTGCTCGAACATCTCATCTGGAAAGAGGAGCAGAGCGGGAAACATGAGCGCCGTCTCGACAGGACAGTTTGAAGTGGACAAATAAATCATCTGCTGCAGTGAACGGCTAACAGCGGCTCTGCAGGAACACACGTGGACTCAAAGAGTCGATGAAGTCAGTCAGGAAAGTACTGATGGTCTTAATGACAGTGGACTTGTTTTATACGTTAACAAATTCAAACTCTACTGGGAGTCTTGTGTTCACCTTCCCAAATGTTAATAACTAAACCAGGGGTCTGCAACCTGCGGCTCCAGGGCCACATGCAGCCGTCTGCTCCTTCTGCTGTGGCTCTTTGTAGTTTTGACCAAACATAACATTAAAATCAGTGGTGGGCACAGTTCCCCTAAAGCACTAATAGGGGAACTAATTTTCTGATTAGTGCTTTAGGGCTTTTGCTAATTTTCAAATTTATTTGTGGATTAGCACTTGCTAAATTTATAGGCTAAATTTAGAAGTACTAAGTGAAGTCTAAAAATGTTATTGATCAACGTTATTGTCAACAGCTGACAGTGAAAGCTGTCACACATTTTGTTCATATGTGTGTCACTTATCCACCAGGCGACATATTGACAATATATGAACCCTGTGGAATATCTATGATAAATCTTAGGAGAGCAACGTGACAATATGTGACTCATGTTGTCTGTTGAAGAATGTTCATGGC